ATTGTGCCTGCGTCTTTGGCGGTACCACAGTTGGTGGCGCGTTTGACGACAGGGTTTCAGCCATTCTGAAGTCTTCCTCCGGTGGGGGAAAGGCTTTTTGGTTGCGACGGCGCCGGTAATCATCTATCATCCGAAGGACCAAGGACCGGAGCATTTCCGTGATCATGTCGTATTCTTCCGTACGATTCTGCTCCTTGGCCTCCTGTCTCTTTGTGAGCAGGGACGGATATTGCCGTCGTTCGTTATGGTCAGCGTGAATCAATAAGTGTCTCTGCTCGATAGGAGTGAGAGCACTCATGGGCATCAAGGCCGCGTCAGCTTCCACTTGTTAGTCCGAGACAGCCGGTTTTATCTGCACCTTCATTCGGGCCGACTCTGCGACCGCTGGTGCTGGGGTTCTAGCCGTGACCGTTACTGGCTCAAGTGTTGAACCTGCAGACACCGTAGGTGCTGCGATTCGTTCCACCGTAATGGTCATAGTTGGCTGCTGAGGAGGTGAGGTGTCCATCCTTTCTTTGGTCGGGGACTTGCCTGGCCGGCTCGGTGTGAACCTGGCAGGCGCCGGTTCGATGGCCGGCATGCTGGGCATTCGCGCCGGAGTTGATGTGGCGCGTCCAGGAGAAGTCCTCTTGGATGGAGATCGGCTTTGGCGTGGCGATCCCTTCGTTGAAGGTGGCCGGACCTGGCTGGTCTCATATAACGCCCTTTGGACATTCTCGTCCAAATCTTCCTCGATCTCCGATTCCTCACTGGAGGAGACGCCCCAGAAGGCCGCAGGCGGTTGGGGCTGTTCGTCCTCACTTTCTGCCTCTTCTGGTGGAAGTTCGTCTTCCACCGGCTGGCCTGGTCGCGGGCGCGGTTCTACTGTCCATGCCCTTGGGTTAATGTGTGGGCCACGGATATAGATGGCGCGTTCGATGATTTCGCTAGGCAACTTGCGCTGGCGAAGTGCCTGGCTCTTGCTTCGCATAGCCATCAGTTTTCTGATGAGGATTGTACGTCCTTGGACCATCTGTTGGCAACCGCGGTTGATGCGGTCAATCTCGCGGTCCGTTAATGTGGGGTCGCCGGCGCGTAGTCGCTGGCGCATGTCCTCCTCAGTAAGATTCAAGCGTAGATCGAGTTCTATGATCTCGCTTCCAGCCCGGTTGTGCGGGTCATCCCATGAATCCGCTTGGGTCAGTCGGATACGATGCCTCGTTGGAGGTTCGTCCCGCAATGGCTTTGTTGTCCCTGACGGAATTGCCGGTGCTTCCGGTGGGGAGAGCACGTGTCCCTTGCCAGGAAAGTTCTTCGGTGGCGACTTCCTCTTCTTGGTCGGTAGGCCACGAGGTGTCAAAGTTGGCGGTTCTGTCGCCTTAGGCTTAAGTATGGAGCGACCGGGCCTGGTAGGGCCAGGAGTGTCTAAGTCCCTTGCTGGGTCACTCAACGCTGGTGGAGTGGACCTGGCTGGTCTGTTCAGCTCCAAGTTCTCCCTTGGTCCTCGCCAAGGTGGGAGTGACCGCTGTGAAGGAGGCTCTTCCGCTTCCGGAGGAGTCCTCTTCTTCTTCTCGAATCTGGGCGACCGTGGGCCACTTGTTGTAGCAGGAGTGGCTGGTTCTGGCCGTCCTCCTGTCGATTTCCTCGGCGTTGGCCGGACAACGAGAGTGCCACTTGATGTGTCGCCTTCAATTGGCTTCGGTGTGGCGCATCAACAGCCATTGGACTTGTCGTTTCACCAGCCGGTTGGACTGGTGTCGACTCTGCTTCAGCCGGTTTCTCCGAACAATGCTCAAGGGTATTGTCAGGCAGGCTCACGTCCATTTCGACGTCCTGCGGTGGGACTTCTTTGCTGCTGTCCGCTGTGGCAGGTCCAGCAGTGTCCACAGGTTGGCTTGACGTTGGACCGGGCACCGCTAGGGCCTGGGCCAACTCAGCTGAAGTTGGCTGTCCAGCTGATGTTAAGGCGGCCGGTACATATGTCAGGGCCAAAGGTGATGGCACAGACACTGGTGATGGTCGCCATTCGTTTACTGGATCGAAGTCACTAGAGCGTGCCGTCGTTGACGGACGTGGGACTTTCCAGTAATCTTCGATGAATTCTCATATCCATTTTATGGTATGGTCCATAACCGTTAACGATGGACCGGTAGGCATCGTGTGGTTAGAAGTAAGGCCCTTGAGCAAAGCCACCCGTTGAGCTAGGCTCTGTTGCTGTTGTGTCAGCCTGACCGCTTCTGGGTCAAATGGGCTGAGTTCGCGGATCCGGTCGTTTAGGCGGCGCTCCACATCTCCAGCGTCGCTGATGAGGTTCCGAATTCTCAATGCTTGGACAATCGTCATTTGCATGGGTCCAGTGTCGGCCTCGCGCAACCGTTGGTCCGCTGCGGCCTGTTCCTCGTCCCATTGTTGACGTAAAGTCTGCGGGGCCGGTCGATTGTCGTCGTCCGGTTTATTTAATAACGGGAAGTCGTCCGCATAAGCCGGTCTACCTTGCGTAACGTTACCCCGCATAATAAGTTCCAGGCGTTCCGCTATGGCTGGTGGCGGCGCCAGTGAAGTTGGCCTCGGGTGGACCTGTCGTTCTGGCGCGACCAAGTGATCAGGCGGAGCCGTCAGTCCTGGTACTGGGATTGGGTTTGGCATGTCGAACCATTCGATGTCGCTGTCGGTTTCTGTGTCCGACGCGCTGGCTGGTCGACTAAGTGCCGGTCCGGCTGCAAATCTTTCAGCCGAGATCCGCATAATCCTCGAGACTCGCATCCTCAAATCTTTCGCCGGTTGGCGTGTTGAGGACCGTGTCGGTACGAGAAGTCCAGTTTGTCCGACGCGTGTTGGCTGCCCCGATCGGGGTTTAGGCAACACGCGGCGAAGTGCTTCATCGATCAGGCCAAGCTGGTATTGCCGGTTACGGAAATAGCACAGCGCTGGTGCGTCGTTGGCCGTATCTAATGGTTTATCCATAAACCGCAGCATGGCCCGTCGAATCCTGGTAATGTATTCCAGGACGCGTTGAAATTCCAAGTCCAACGCAACTTTTCTCCGTATAGTGGCGATGTCCACACCCTTCAGGCCGGTGATAACCTTGCGGATTTCCTCTTCGAGGCGTTCCGCGGCGTGAAGTTCACGCTCCAAGGGTGGTATGTCTGGATAGGCCCTCAGGTCATACGGAGAGGATGCTGGTTCACGCGATTCCAAACCAGTGGCTGTCAACATTGCCTCGTCGGTAGACGTAGGCTGAGCCACTGGTGGCGCGGAAGATTCCCCTGTCGTAGTGGTAACTACGACTGTTGGGTTCTCTGGGGGCGGTGCTGCTGATGGCGCTGGCGCTGGACGTGTTGGTGCTGCGGATCCTTCGGTCCTCAGCTGTCTTTCCGTCCGATATTGTTCCAGCTGGTCCCTCAGCCTGCGAGATGCCGCCAGCAATGCCTGACCGGTTTGGTCATGCAAAGGAAATATCTCGTTTTGAGCCTGGCGGGTCGCAATTTCCTCGCTAAGTTCATGAGCGAGTCGCCGAAATTCATCTTGATCGAGAATGATGCGCTGAGCCGTCTCACGGTAGTGAGGGCTGCGGCTGTCCAATTCTCGAATCATGGCCTCCAATTCTTGGATGGCATTCTCTACTTACTTCAGATTGTCCTGAAGTTGGTAGAGTGGAGTCCGGCCGTCGGCTAAAGGTTCGATAGGGGATTCAATCCTCATCGGTGGTGTAGTTGGATCGCATCGGAAGTCCCCTTCGTCTTCTGGCTCTGGCGGTGACACAGGTTCTGTCGGTAGGACAGCCTGGTCACGCCCAGCCAACACTGGGTTCAGTGCTGGCCGTGCCGCTGGTTCCGGTTCAGCTAAGCCAAGTTCGGCTGCCAATTCTGGTGGAACCTCTTCTGGCCGGTTATATATTGTGAGCCGTCCATTCACAAATACCCGTAATGGGTAATCACTTGGCTCGTTGAGCTGTGATGTGCTTGGCTGGGTTTCCGGCGGCGCCGGTGTTCGCTACGCTTCCGGTCCCGCTCGTGGAGGCTCAATGGATGAATCAGACGGCGCCTGACCCGTAGGGTCAGGTTGTGCCGCTGAAGGTGAGCCATATGGCGGTTGGCCATATGCTCCATATCCGCCATAAGGCGGTGGATACCCATAAGGTCCTGGCGGATACATCCACGGTGGTGGGTATCGCCATGGGTTTAGGTCCGGCTGCGGCTGGTTTGAAGGTCCAGGCGCAGGATACGGGGGATATCCATAATGTGGGTTGTAGTATGGCGGCGGAGTGTACTGTGGCCGCGGTCCAGTATGGACCGGCGTAGTCGTGACCGTTGGACCGACTGCCGCAGTTGTGAAAACTGGCTGGTTTGCCGAAGTGGTCGGTAGGCCACCATACAGAATTGGTTGAGGTGGGCCGGTACGGCCGTGAGGATAACGTCGGACCGTTTGGCCCGACGTAGAGCTTGGCTGGCTGCCGGCTACTGCTGCGTTCACCACGAGTCCAGTGTCGTCAGAGAATGTCCCTGGCTGCCAAAGTTGTGGCGGAATGGCTCGAGGTGGCAGAGGCTGGGACCGCGGTAGCGGTGTGTCGGCCTGTAAACTGGGGCCGACTGACATAGTTGCCAGCTGCTCAGCAGTTAGGTTGGCCCTAATGTTAGGTACCTGTACACTCGGAGGCTGGTTAGACGACCGAGTGGAAGATCCGCCCGACCGGGATTCCGGTCGTGAATATGGATGTGTGCGGTTACTGCGGTCGGAGTCATCAGAGCGATCGGTGCGTCGGCGTCCTTCCATCGTTGAATGGGGCGCTGTCACGAGACGAATCACGCGGTGTTAGGCTCCTACCTACTATGTTAGTTCGAAGTACGGCTAGCTACTTATAAGCTACCTTGTCAGATAAGGTTACGGATATTGGACCAGTTTAGCTACTTCTAAGCTACTGGTCTTTTAAGGTTAGGTTAGTTAAATTAAGGTTCGTTAGTTTCGGTAGCAGCTCACGGTTAGTTCGACTAATTCTAAGTCTACCGTGTCAAATACGGATATTATTTTAGAACGTCATTCTGTCCAGCCTTGTCAACCGCCTTGTCCAGTACGTCCGGTGGGACTGTACTGGACTTGTCCGATACGTCCGGTGGGACCGTATTGGACTTCTGCTTTTTGCTCTTTGAGACTTTTTCCGATTTTTCCCGCCCTGTGGTTATGCGAGTGAGCAAGTCTTTATCCGCCTCATCTTCAGCAACTACGTCCTCTTCCAGGACTTGCTGAGCCGTAAGGGTTGCCTTAGGCTTTTTAGGCGTCTTTGGTCTTTTGGGCTTCTCCTTAGGCGCCGAGGCCACCTTTGGCTCTTCGGTCGCCGCTGGCTTGTCCGTAGCGGATGTCCCTTTTTCTGGTTCCGCCGGGGCCAAAGTTGGGTCAATAGCGGCTAATGGCTGGTTTTGAAGCTTGGTCAGCGCCGGTGTCTCGAAATCCGGTTTGGCCTTTCGAGGTCGGCCTGGGCCACGCTTCACTGGTGACTCTAGGTCTGATGTCTTTGGGTCAGGTGGGCCATAACCGGGGATTCGCAAAGTCTTTTGCTGCTCCGCCACAAGTTTCTTGGACGGGCCCTTTCCGGGCTTCTGCTTCTTCAGCAACGTCTCAAGTTTGCTCTGGGCGTGTGAAAGCTCTGCATCTTGTCCCGGCTCTGCGTTATTGTTGCACCTTTCCGACTCTGTGGGTTCAGGTTTCGCGTCGCCGCTCTTCATCTTGGATGAGCGTGTTATTCTGCGACTCGGGCCGTCCGGGTTAAGGTACGGCTTAAGGCGATCGACACATACAGTGTGTTCAACCCGGTGTCCCGCTCTCGGATCCAGTAAGTATTCGGCTTAGGTATGCCGATGACAATGTAGACGCCTTCGAACTTGTGTGGATTAGTCGGGTCGTCTACCATATTCTTCAGGGTGACCAAGTCCCGCTTCTTGAACTCGCCCTGCGACTTCTTTTTGTTGTAGATGGCCGCATCCCTCAGGAACCCTTCTTCGATTTGCGTTTTTGCTATTTCATGCGCCCTGTTCAGGCGCTGCTGCATCCTCTGGACATAACGTTCGTTAGTCGTAAAAGTCTCTGGGACGTTGGTCCCAGCGAGGACGTCTTGCGGTATCGTCATTTCTCGTCCAAACAGCATATGGTATGGCGAGAATCCAGTGGTTGCGTGAACGGCACGGTTCATGCCGGAAATCACGTATGGTAGGGCCCGGTGCCAACGATGTTCGTCGCCGGCGCCGCCAAAGTTTCGAATTCCGTCCCAGATGGTCTGCATCTGGCGTTCGACTTGGCCTTGGCCCTCTGGATGATAAGCGGATCCGAAGGTCTGCTCGATGCCGAAGATTTTCGCCACTTTGGCGAAGGATTTTGCCGTAAAATGCGTGCCCCGGTCGGAGTGCATGGTATGCGGCATGCCGTATTTTAGTACGACTTCTTCGACAAAGAACTTCTCAAATTCTTTGGCCGAGTTTGTTTTGGTCGGCCGGGCTATGGTGAACTTCGTCATTTGGTCGACCACCACAGCGATGTACCGGTATTTCTTTGTTTGGGTCACCGGTAAAGGTCCTTTGAAGTCGGCGAAGACGCGGTACCAAGGCGCAACAGCTTCAGTCGGCTGCAGCTTACCGTAGGTAGCTCGCCGCGGTACTTTGCCGAAAATACACGTCTGACATCGGTCGATGTAGTCGTGAATATCGCAGCTCATACGGTCCCAGTAGTACCGGAGTTTGGCTGTTTCAATGGTCTTGCGGTATCCGAAATGGTTCCCTGTTTTCCCATCGTGGAGGGACTGGATAATGTTCTTCCGCATGAACAAAGGGACAACGAATCTCCCTTCGAGTTTCGCATTGATTTCGGTGAGTCGGTAGAGCACACCTTTGTCCATCTGGTATTGTTCAGGTAATTTGACCTTTTATCCATTTCGCTTTGGTGTTCCAACTCGTGGATTTTCTTGGCCAGAGTTGGATCGCGGTGTTGCATCCGTCGCAGTTCTTGCGCGGTGCGGTCCGTAACTTTTTCTGGACACGGTGGGACTTCGGGCTCTGGCTCTCCCGGTGTGGGCGCCGGTACGTTAATCACCCTTATGTCCGCCGTGCTGAACTGGTCCCAATCTGTGATCGCGTTGCAATCGGGCAGGAGAGGCTTGCCCCATTCATTTGCGGGGTCCTCGTCCGTGACTTGCAGCCTGCGCACCTTTATGATGCGTGCTGGGATCTCGTCTTTATAATCCTCGAAGTTAGGGACTTGGTCCAACTCTTCATGTGGGCCTTTATCATCGTCCCGTTCGAGTGGCCATCTGGACAATGCGTCAGCGTTGTCACAGAATGTACCTGGTTTGTACTCGATGGTGATGTCCCGTCCGGAAGCCTCGACTTTAAGTTCAACAAAATCAACGATCTCATAACCGACATAAAGTCGGTTGAAGATCTAATGAAGTCCGGTACGCCTACCACAAAGGAGGATAAGAACCGACTTCGAACAGTCATCGGCCGTATAGACAGGGCTAGTTGGTCAGAGAAGTTCCCGACCTCCAACATGGAAGGATCGACGACGATTCCGGGAGACATCAGGACTTCACCGATATCGTCACCACCGCCGCCGACCACACAGGTCGCCAGGGGGACACATTCTGGATCCCCAGGTGCCTAACTCGGAACGCATCCGAAGATTGGCCGAACTGAAAAAGGAACGGGAGGACGTCATCGCCCAGTCGAACGAAACTAGGCAACGGATGGCCACTTCCAACAGGGGAAGATAACCATCTCCAAGAATTCCAAGCCTTGCTCGACCAGTACAAACAATTGTACAACCGGCACACCGACTTGGACTTGCTGTTCCACCGACTTATCCAGTCGGTGGAACAGCAAGTCCACCTCGCCACAGCTTTAACGCCGACAACGACCACACAGGCCGTAACGTTGGCAACTTTGGCAAGCGACACGGTTATCGCCCAGGGCAGAATCGCCATACAGGAGGCAGAAGACGTCCTGAAACGGATTCAGCAACGCGCTGAGAAGGGACTCGAGCGAAGATAATCTCCGAATTCACCGCTCACATACAACTTGTGAGAAACCTGATACAACCAGGCGTGATCGAACAGGGAGTCCATTCTCAACTCGTACAGAACGGCATAAGCCAGCTGCGGGAATACACCCACAGTCAACGTCGACCAGCTGACCCCGACACGGAGACCTCCGATGCATTACCGTCGACCTCATCGGCGGCGGAGATGCATTCGGCGATGCGGAAAAGCCGCAGGGAAAAGATGTCTGGAATAATTACCGACGGATGGAATCTACTGGATCACCTCCAGAGATCTTTTGTCAATGAGACACCATCCGATGCTGAAACCCTTAAAGTGGCACGGCAGAAGATGAACGACCTGACGGCCTACCTGAAAAAGGCGGACCTTCTTATCGGTAAAAATGAACCAACCGAAGCCGACGAACGACAACTCGGTCGGTCGTGGAACGGATCACAGAGATCCTCGACGCGGAACCAGCATACACTAAACGGATTCCGACGCCGTCGCCACCTCGCCGAGCAGCACCGACTACGACAGCGGTGATGACTCTAGTCGGCACGACCCCAATGGAAAACCTAATCGCCAACATGGATATAATTACCCAAGCTGGACAGGACTTAGCCGACATCTTCTTCCACCGGCTCAGTGGAACCCTAACGGAACAAGAGAAACCGACCTCAACCGAATTGACCGAGCACTACGACTCGAATTGGATTGGGCCGATACTCTAGGCTCATGGGAAATTCCACCACCAGGTCCGAACCGAGACCGGCTTATCGAAGCACTTCAGTCGGTGATTGACTAAGTTAAGCAGTACTTGGCGAACCCGAACAAAGCGGGAGTGCCAGTACCAGCTCGGGAGAGAACACCTTCCCCAGTCCCATCAGTTCGACTCGACGTCGAACTCCCATTTGTAGAGACGGTTGAACAAAAAGAAGTCAACATCGGCGAAGTCGAAGACCAGTACCGAGAAGCGGTAGAAGTAATGGAGAAACTCGGAAAACAAATCCGAGAGCTCGACCCGAATAACGCTATGGAAAAGCAAATGCGTGATGCCTTGGATCAGCAGTACACTATCTGCTCCAGGCGGGTCGAAGATTTGTGGAAGATACTAGAGGCTAACCCACAAAGAGTTCAGCCGACCTCCACTCAGCTGCAACCGACTACTTCGCAGCCCACATTGGCAGAACAAAAGAAAGTACTCGACCAGAAGCTGGCCCGTGCACAAAAGATTGCCGCCAACCTACAACGACAGGTTGACGATATGGACGGAACAGATCCGACCATTTGCAACATCCGGACGGCAATTGGAGATCAACTCAAAATCTCCCAGATGCACGTCCAAGACATAGAAGCGGAGATCGACATGCTTCGACGCAAATGGATGACGGATAAGACACGTCAAGAACGACTCGAGAGATACCGGAAAGAAACGCAACAATGCGCACCCGACCCGCAACAGCCGACAACCTCGAGTCAGTCGACTTCGACAACAGCTCGGATCCAATCCCAGCCGACCTCAACAGCGGGTTTGGCTCAACCGAAACCAATGGAAATAGCCGACCGACGTGTCTCGAGCCACGGAAGCTCGGATCATGGAAGCCATACCGGATACCGGCGAATTGGCAAGTACGGTTGCGCCCCACATCGTTAAACTACTGGATAGAGTAGCGGAACTCATCACAGAGATGATGGCCCGCAGAAACTTTTGTGTCGACAAAAGCCAAGAAGCGAACGACTTAGATCGAGACATTCTGGCCTGGGGAAACAACGCCCAGTTTATACGACGACTTTGTCATCCGGACGCCCCACAAACGACCAGGGCTCGACAACACCTTATTCGAACTATCTCATGGCTGGAAATAAGGGTGAACGAGTACGAGGAAGAGAAGGGACGGGACAAAGAAATGGAATCGACCAACCTGGCAACAAACGCCATGGCTGAAGGTCGGCCGTCTAGGATCACAAAGATCCAGTCGGCTCTGAAACCTAATTTCGATTCAGTCCGACTTCCACCTCCACTCCCACCACCCAAACCCGACCTTGAATGGGTAAAAGCAGTTAACACACAGTTACTGCGGGCGGACGCCGTCATCGTCGAACTACGACAAATGATGAACGAAACCGACCAACGGAGTCCGCAATACTGTCAGATCGACATTAACCTCGGACACTTGGAGAACAACGCCAAGGAAGCCCGATTCATCCTCCGACCAACAACAGTGTGGTCGGCAAAGAATCAGGAACGGCTGCAAACCTTGACGGCTATGATTCAGTCCTTCGTCGACGGCTTCTATAAAAGGAAGGAAGCGGAAGAACAACGGAAGCTGAAGAGGCCGCCCTCCGCCGAGAAGCCTAAGGTACAACCTGTCAAACCGACACAGGTAGTTCCACCGGTGAGTCACCAAGACGAGCTGATGGACGACTTACCAGTACCAGGACTGGAAGGCGAAGACGAACGGATGGACACATCGGAGGAAGTCGCAACAACAGAGGCCAGCCGACCTAAGCCCCTGGAACGACCAACAACGTCACCCGGGCTCTCACAAAGAGAACCGCAGAGTAAACGAACACCTGATGGTCGACTAATCCTTCAACCAGGTGGATCGAACTCGCCTAAATTCGCACGGAAATCAAAACCGACGGATAACATTGAAGAGCTCGGACCACGTAGGCGTCTCTTCCCGTCGAAGTCGC